TGCTAGGACTGGCTCCTGAGGGCCAACCCTTTTCTTCCCAACTCCACATCAGGGGCCTCATGTTGATGAGCTGAAACTAGCCATGGTGAGAGTATTCACATCACAGAAATCAGCAAACCAGGGGGCCTGTTGTTAAAAACGTATCAGCACATCACTGAATAGGGGGCTCTGTTTCACCCACTTTTACCAGCGAGGCTACTGAGGCCTAGCAGGAATCTAGACAAACAACATGATCCCAGAGACTGTGCCGTCTTCAACTCCAGCCACATAAGCAAAGCCATTTCCTTCTGAGGAATCCATCTGTGAGCTGAAATGTCACAGAAGGAAAGGAGTGTCAAATGTGATGGGCGTTTGAGAGCCGGAAGAAGTACGGGGGAAAGAGCGAGTCCTCCCCTGAGTCACTCAATCTCCTTGGGTTGCTGTTTCACCATCTATAACAGCAAAGAAACTCCGCTCCAACTGAGACAAGAGGCAAGTCCGCCTTAAGCACTCGACAAGCACTCCTGAAGGATTGTGATACAAACAAATAGAAAATACACACGGTATATGCCTGTGTGTCCCTGGCCTCTCCTGATTCTGGGGAATAAAAACCATGCCTGCTCCTTTCAGGGAAGAGATGAATGGGAAGGGTATGTACACGGATGGAGGGCAAGATGCAGCAAATGCCATAATAAAATGACACAGGAACTAACATTCAAAGAAGCTGTAAAGACTGGTCCAAATGGGCATGTGGCCCCCTGCCAGGGAAGGAGGGGGTATTTTGCCAACACTGCATTTGCTTTTTGACTGGGATGGGTCCAGTCCTAGAGTGCTGGCACCAGGGGACTTGTGTGCATGTGTGGAAGGGGGGATGCTGGTGAACCTCTGGCTAAGGTCCTCGTAGCCAAAACTTAAATCTGTCATTCACAACACTGGACTATTTTGTAAGAAAGAACCTGAAAGTGAGAATCCAGCTGTAGCAGGATGAATAATGGCCCTCAAAGAGATCAGGCCCTAATCCCTAGAATCTGTAAATGCTAGTTTATGTGGAAAATGGTCTTTAGAGGTCTGACTAAGTTAAGGATCTTGAGATGGAAAATTATCCTGGATTTTCTGAGTGGGCCTTAAAAGCAATTAGAAGCGTCCTCATAAGAGAGAGGCAGAGGGAGATTTGACGCAGAGGAGGAGGTGATGTGACCACTGAGGCGGAGATTGGAGTGATGCGAACACAACGACCAGAGGCCGGCAGCCACCAGATGCTGGAAGAAGCGAGGAAAGGATTCTTGCCCTAGAGCCTCCAGACAGAGTGCGGTCCTGAAGACACCTTGATTTCATCCCAGTAAAACTGATTTTGGACTTCTCGTCTCCAGAACCATGAGAGAATAAATGTATGATGTTTTAAATCGGCAAGTTTGTGGTCATTTGTTACAGCAGCCAGAGGAAACACATACACCAACCAAGACAAGAGATGTTGATTTCAAGGCAAGTACTTTACCTTCCAGCAAGAACTAAGAATTCACCAACTCTCCATAGCCCAGTCCCCCCATATCCCACCCCATTACAAATTACTAAGTGCAGTAAGTGAAGGACAGGGAAAGTTTAAGAATTCATGGGTGGGAAGTGCAGTCCTTTTTGTCAAATCCCCATGCTGCTGTGACCTTGCCTCTGCCATGCCCACAGCCTGGCATGCCTGTCACTCCCTTCTCTCTGGGGAGCTCCTACTTGAACCTGGGCCCTTATGGCACTGTTTCAGGTCCCTCCCTTTCTTCTTGGGAAAGTCAGCTCTGTGCCTCCTCTATGCCCGGGTCTCAAGCTCAGACTGCTGGGAACCAAAGGTAACATCAGTGAGTGCGGCAGCTGGGAGGGGGCTGGGAGAACTGGGAGCTGTGCCCATCATCCAAGGGGCCACCCAGGGCTATTTGGAAATATGGACTCACGGTTGTTCATCTTTGGATTTTTTCCAAGAGAAGTAAAAAATCCCTCCTACTTATGTGAAATCTCCCAATTTTGTAATCTGGTAACTAATTTTTAAAAAATATTCAAATTCTATGCATCAAACAAAGCGATGCTTGTCTGCCTGGTCTGGCCCCAGACTGCCAGGCTGTAGCATGCACATGAGGTCTTCCTTTGTGGCAGCATTTACCTGCTGGGTTATCCTGTCCCTGGTCAGTGAACAGCCTCTGGACTGGCCCTCCAACTCACCTGTCCATTCTTTTAGGGGAGGACCACACCCATGTGACCTTTGAAACCCAGGGCCTGGAAAACATAGGGCCTCTCCACAAGCAGTTGAGCAGTCACGGCTGAATTGAAAAGGAAGGATAGGAGGAAGGGAGGGAGGGAGAGACAGAGGAAGGAAATATAGGTAATCTTTCTGTTAGCAGAAAGTCAGCAAAATGCCAGCAACTCTCTATGTCAACAAAACTGCACATGAGTACCTAAGTGTCACTTCAGCTAAACTCTCAGTGCACTGAAAGTTTTTGAGGGACATCTGCTCAGTTTTCCAAGGATCAACTACTGTGAGGCCCTGGCTTTCTGCAGGAGAAGGAGCAAAGACACAATCTGAGCCTGGTCATCAGCAAACTGATAAGGAAGGCACTTGGATCACGACCCCTGCAGGAACAACCCAGGAGATCTGAGACCTGAGGCTGCTTCAATGTGGCAGCAACAGTCATAGCCCAGAGAAAGGACCTAAAGCAATTCCTGCTCAGACACAGGTGTGTACAGAGCTCTCTGGGCATCAATTTCCCCAAATGTAAAGTGAAGAGGTTATGTGGTTCTTTTCAGGAGCATCTTCACAATTTTTGCAATATCCTTGTACCAATGGCACAATCATTTCTTCAATATTTTTTTGAAAAATTGACTAAATTTTCAAAAACTTAAATGAATTCATTATAAAAGAAAACAACCATAAAAGGAAAATCAGCATCACTTGCCGTATACACACAGACCATAACCCACAAAAAACAAACCAGTGTATTCAATTCTAGCCGGCTGCTGCTGCCTGCTCTGAGCCTGGGACAGCTTCCTCTGTGCAAAGGGTGCTTGGTAAGTGTCAGAGAGATGTTAAAGACACATTAGCACCAAGCTGAGCCTCTCCTGGCATACTTGAAAAGGAAATAAGTTTCCCATGCAGGAATTCCACGTGACTCCCTGCTGAGCTGCACACCCCCGCCCCATACCAAGATCAGCAAAAATCAACCCTAGGGAAATGAATTCTGAGAAGGTCTAGTCCAGCTCACACTTTTTGATTCTGGCTCTGAGTAGGCACTCTCATGGGCCAAGGCTGCTCCTGAGCCCTTGGTGTCTTTTGGTGACCTCAAGCCCCTTCTCACACTCAACCATGAGTCAGTACCAGAATACGTTAGGATATAGGCTGGACACAACCCAAAGCTCAACCTTTCCCTAGGGGACAATACCCGCATAGCCCTTTAAAAAAGCAGAACAAAAAACTTGTGATTTTGAGAACTGGAGGACGTAGAACTACCCCCCCCCCCAACCAAAAAAGCTCAGAAAGACTTTGGAGAATGCCAGATGCAGGTAGGAAGCAGGATAACAGGCTGGGGTGGGGGTAGGGGTGGAGAGACATCTGGGAGGAGGGAGGGGAAGCCCTGGTGCTGAGGGCACGGACCCTCCTAGTTCAAGGGTCTCCTGCACAAGTCTGGCTCTAAGGCCACCAGCTGGCCGAGGGCCTTGAATGCCACAGAGGGGTTTGGAACCTGAAGGACTTCAAGATCTGGCAAAACTGCCACTTTTGCCTCATCTCTGTCCCCAGAAACGCCCAGAGGCAGCCAGCCCTACACATTGCAAATGATGCCCGGGAGTCCTGAGATTTTTGCTGAGGGTCCAGGAATTTAAACTGATGTCTGTTCCGCTTTGGTGAGACTGTATCCCAAAGTTGGCTGCTCACTCCTTGGCCGCTTGTTCCTTTTTCTTGAGCGTCTGGACTCCCAGACAAGGCCCGTACAGACCTTGGCCCAGGGCTCTCCGCTGGTACACCCCACCCCGCAGCCCTCAGCAAAGTCAGAGAGGCCTTTCACGGCTTCAAAAGTTCCACCAGGTCCTCCAGCCACAGGAGCCTGGAATGGGTAACTGAATCCTACCCAAGAAAAGAGAAAAAAAAGAAAAAGAAAAAAAAAAGGCACAGTGACCTTTTGTCCCAGCAGAAGTTCCCGGCTCCCTCCCGGCCAGCGGAGGCGGCCTAGCCAGGAGAGTAAGGAATTGCAGATGCGCGCTCGGCGCCGCGGCCGCCCTCCCCGCCTCCCCGCAGCCCAGCGGGACAGCGCCGGGGCGCCGCGGTGATCCGGACCCCGGACTCCGGGAGCCCGGCCCCGCCCGCGCCCAGGACTCCCTCTCCGAGGCTCCGCGGCAATTACTGCCTCTTGCCGCGCCTCGCTGAGAGCTCTTTTCAGCAAAGAAGCGGCAACAAGGGAATCAACCGTGCTAGGGACGAGAGGCTCAACTGGGGTCGCCAGGAGGACGCGCAGGCCTTTGTGGGGCACACCAAAGGCTGCTCTCGCTGCCGCGGGGCAGAGCCCGGCGAGCTGCGGGGAGGGTGCAAGTGGGGGCGCCTCTGTTCGGTGGGCGCGGTGGGCTGAGAGGCGGGGTGGGCATCCCGCTCCAGGAATGCGTGAGCTTGTGCGTGGCCGCCTTTGTGGGCGACTCCGGGGAAGTGGAGGAAAGCGCCCTCCCTGAATACGGGGTGGGGACACCTCTGTGTTGTGGGGGTCCAGGCCCGGGACATGACCAATTCCTTCCTCTCTGTGGGGGGCCGGGCACGGGTCCCCCTATATCGGAGGCTGGGATTGGGCACCCCTCATACCTCTCTGAGACACCCGCTCGGGGGCCGGGGTAGGAGGGAAGGCAGGCCCGGCCCGTGAAAGCCCCACGGTCGGAGACTGTGGCAGGCTGGCTCCTCCATCCAGCTCTCCGGCGCCCGGCTCTCGGGCGGAGGTGCTGAGAGGCTGCGGCGCAGGGACCCGCGGGCACCAGGAGGAGGGGTCGTGGCCGGGTGCGGCACTCACCGCACATGGTGGCTGCTGCTCAGGCTCCTTCACGGCTCGGGGAATCTGCTCGCTCCGGACACTCTGGACACTCCGTGCGCGCCGTGCGCTCCGCGGGCTCCGGCTCCCGCCGCTCGGCCTCCGGCCCTTATAGCTCCGAGTCCTCGGAGAGGGGTGGGGCCGGGGCGGGGCCTCCTCCCGCCTGCCCGCTTCCCATTGGCTCCCGGTTGTCGTGACAACGGCGGGGACAAAGCCTCCGGGAGTCAGGGCGAGGGGCGTCTCCCAGACACAAGTCCCGGCTGTAATGCAAGGGGTCGGGCCCCAGATCCTGGAGGTGGGCTGTAGAGAGGGGGCAGCAAACGGCCTGAGTTCAGACCCCGACTAAATCGGATTAGACGTGGAACCTTGGGCAGGGGACTGATCGCTCCGAGCCTCAGTTTCCCCATCTGTAAAGTGGGGATAACAGTGGAACCTACCTCCAAGGTGGCGGTGAGGATGATGAGACTGTGTAAGGCACAGAACACAATGTCGGGCATAATACACAAGCTCAGGAAAACCCCACAGTGAGCAGCTGTTCCGGGCACGCGCCCCTCCTTGTGCCATACTCTTTTCCGAGCACCAGAAACGCGGCACACAATAGGCCTGTAAACCCTGTCCCCACCCTGCGAGGATGGAACTCCTGGGCTAGGTTGAAAGATTAGAAAACTGAGGCTCCTCGGAGATGGAAGGGGACTTTGCCAAAACTGGATAGCAGCGGCAGTTGTAGAATTCGAACCTGGGATTTAATGCATAGCCAGAACTTGGAGGCAGGGATTCCCCCAGGTTCTGAGTAAAACTGAGGTCGACCCAGAAGCCACCCCCTCCTCAGACCCGTCCTGGGGGCAGCTGGGCCCCGCTCAAGTCCTGGGCCTCTCCAACCCGGCCGGCCTGGAGCCCCACCGTGAGTGAGTCACCGAGGTCGGCATTCCCCCGCCCCGGTTCCGGCCGTCCCCTCCCCTCCTCTCCCCACTGCTCCGGCACCCCTAGTCCCCCGAGGAAGGTCACGAGAACTGTCCCAACATGTGCAGTACTTTGAAGCCATCTGGATTTTTTTTTTCTTTTTTTCTTCTTAGGAAAAGATCCTGACATTCTAAACAGATCGTCTCCAGTCGTGTAAGAGAACAAAATGAAGCTTTTTACATCTTGTCCAGAGCATTTTTTCTGACATAACTCTTTCTAGCTTCACCAGGGCTCTGCAGGCTCTGGAGGCTCTGGGGAGAGGAGGTATTTGTTGTACCCATTGGACCGTCGAGGAAACTGAAACTGACAGTAAAGGATGGGGTTTGGTTGAGTCCTGCTGCTGGGAAATAGCAGAGCTGATCCAGGAAACACTGCATTTGTTCCTCCCACTCCACTATGCAGGATCACTTTCATTCATTCATTCCCTCATTCCTAGACACCTATTTCATGCTGGTCCTGGTGCTAGAGACTTAACGATGAGTTAGAACAGACCTGTGCCCTCCCGGCATTTACGAAGTGGCGGGGAAGCAAACACCAGGCCAGTGGTCACACAATGAGCCAGACAATTCCAGGTAGGATACAGGGATGCTGTCAGGCTCTGCCCGGAACTGGGCTGGGGCTGGGACTGCTCCTGAGGCTAGTGCAGGTCAGTCCAGGGCCAAGGCAGGTTGCCAGAGGAAGTTAACAGACTAGAGAAGGGAGGGAGGAGCAGGCGTAAGCAAAGGTCCCACGGCCGAGGGCTAGAACTTGAGTCTGGAGATCAGGCTGTTTTGCCCTACACTGGCTTCCACTGTCTGTAACTGAAGTGGGAATAGGATGATGTCATCAGACCCTCTGCTTACACTAAGACACCAGGAGCGCTGGGGTCCTAGCAGGGTCCAGATATGTCCCCCATTCTACTTGGAGATTCACAGCACCACAGTGGAGAGTGGCACGAATGAATGCAATGGCCCCTGTGGAGGCATATGCAGCAGCTGCTAGCCTAGCATCCCCCCTGCTTTGGGGACAAGTCCCCTGAGAGTTCTTTGGGAGGGCAGTGGCCTGGGCCTGGCCACATAGCTATTAGGCCCCCCCGTCCCAGCATTGGTTCAGGGCCCCACTTTCCAACAGTACCTCGACCCCACTGGCTAGTAAGGTGGGGCCACATGCTGAAATTGCAAACAGCAGCCACAGACATGGCTTCTTCACCTATACTGTTTTTTTTTGTTTGTTTGTTTTTTCCTTTTTGTCTTTTTTCGTGACCGGCAACGGATTGCAACCCTCAGTGTCGCGCCCGTACCGGACCGGGACCGGCCACGGGATCGCAACCCTCGGCGCTGCCCCCGCACCTCGCTCAGCCAGTGAGCTGCCGGTCTGCATGTGGGATCCGAACCCTCGGCGGGAGCGCCACCCCGCTTCACAAGCGGCGCACTGTAGCAGTGCGCCACCGGCCGGCCCCTCACCTATACTGTTTTTTCAATGCTCTTTATAGTTGGGAGATTTGCTCACTGACCTGGCTTCTCCCAAACAAACCAGGGATCTGCTCCACTCCCTCTTCTCTCAGCACTATTCTCAGCACAAACAGCTCAGCTGAGTCCGTGGCTGTCTTGGTAGACATGGGATGTACTTGCTAAACCCCCAGCCACAGGTTCTGTTCAGCTGCTTTTCCTTGTGACATTTTTGCTAGGGTCTGGGGAGGGTTTCAGGGTATAGTGAGGGTTGCCCTCTAACTCCTGCAGGGTTCCTGGCTGGACTTTCACCAGCTCTTGTATTGTCATCAGGGTCCTTGCTACCTACCAGTCTCTACCTGCCCCAGCTCAGCCTGAATCTGGTTGGGCTGTGGCTGCAGGGTGACCTGGCATGATTACCTTTTATCCCTTGTAGTGGATTGGATTATATCCCCCCAAAACTCACTGAAGCTTGAATTGTGTCCTCCAAGTTTCATGTATTAGAAACTTAGCTCCCACTGTGACTGTTAAGAGGGTGGGAAATCCTATTATGGTAATTGAAAGGTGGAGCCTTGCAACATCACTCAGCATCCGGGAAATGCAAATCAAAACTACACTGAGATACCATCTCACTCCAGTTAGGATGGCTAAAATCCAAAAGACTCTGAACGATAAATGCTGGTGAGGTTGCGGAGAAAAAGGAACTCTCATACATTGTTGGTGGGACTGCAAAATGGTGCAGCCTCTATGGAAAATGGTATGGAGGTTCCTCAAACAATTGCAGATATGAGAGCTCATTTTTACCAAGCACCTTTAAAATCATAAACTTTTAAAATAAGAGTTTTATCATGCTTTTAAACTCACTTAAGAAAGCCAACATCGTATAACTTCGTATAATGTATGCTATACGAAGTTATTACGAGAGAAATACCACATGTTCTCACTTATTAGTGGGAGCTAAAATTAATAAATAAATTCACACACACACACACACACACAAACCAGGGGGAGGGGAGGAAGATATAACAACTACAATTACTTGAAGTTGATACAACAAGCAAACAGAAAGGACATTGTTGGGTGGGGGGGAGGAAAGGGAGGAGGGAGGGAGGTTTTGGTAAGGGGCAACAATAATCAACCACAATGTATATCGACAAAATAAAATTTAAAAAAAAAAAGGGTTATGAACCACAGTCAAACTAAAATCAATTAGAAAGTAAGCCAAAGCATCTCAAAGTACACCTTTAGTTATTAGGAGATAATGTTCAATTTCTAAAATGTAATTAAATGCAGCTTTTTAAGAAATATAAAACATGCCAGCTTAGTTATATTTATTGAATAAAGTTAACAAATGGGTATCTCTTAAAAAAAAAGGTGGAGCCTTGAAAAGGTGATTGGATTGTAGGACTGTGCTGTAGTGAATGGATTAAAAATAGTGGTCAGGGGCGTGGTTCTGAGGGCTTTAAAAAGAGAGTAAGTGAGAAGCTCTCTCTCTACTCCACTATTTCACAATGTGATACTCTGCTGCCACTGTAGCCACCAAGAAGGCTCTCACCAGATGTATTCCCTGGACTTTGGACTTCCCAGCATCAGAAACTATAAGCAATAAATTTTGTTTTCTTTATAAATCACCCAGTTTCAGGTATTTTGTTATAAACAACAGAAACAGACTAATACGGAAATGCCAGGTAGATCTTGGTGGTGGCCAGAGACCCAGCCCAGCTCAAAGCCATGAAGCTCAGAGCTTCCTGGACTTCAGCAGAGGGCCCAGAGAGCTGGGAGTGCAGGAGGCTGAGGCCTGCATCAGGGAGCTCTGCATTGGATCACTCCATAGGGGAGGGGAGAGACTCTAGAGGGACCTGTGAGTGGTGCCCATAGCAGAAGGTGTGATTCAGGGAGCCCAGGCCAGACATCCCATGTGTCTTGACTTGGACAGAGTGCCCCACCTCAGGGCTGCTGACCCTCAGCTCAGACTCAAAGTGAAGGGGACAAAGAACAGCAGGGATTGGGGCTACATCCCTCACCCCCAACCCCTCCTGCAGAGCTGGGATGGGTTGGATGGGTGAGCGGATAGGGCCACAAAAGTCCATGCTTATGGAGGGTCTGAAGGACTGTTCTGGGGCCAGGGTTTGAGAACAGTCAGAAATGGAGAGCTGGGCAAGAAACTGAGGCAGGAATCCTTCTCAAAAGGAAGAGCCTTGGGGGAGGAAGATTGGCTTGGAGCCAGTCAGAAGTTTGGCTGGAACATGGGAAAGGGGGAGGGTCATGTAGTTCTGGTTTTGGCCACCAAGTGGCTTTACACCACCCCTCCACACCCCCCAGGCCCCCGTTTCCCTTCTTCAGCACAGGCTGGGGCTGCCCAGTGGTGACCTTCCCGTAGAGTTCCTTGGAGACAAGGACTTGTTTCATCTTCTTTCCCTTTCTTCCTAAAACTTAAGAGGAGGCCTGCCGCAAAGCTGAAGTTATGTATTCTTTTATGACTGCAGGTTAACTTTAAAAAAAACCACTATATATATATATTTATGGCTACTTATACATTTTTATAATTTTTTTCTTACAGATGAAATACATGTTCATTTAGCAAATACAGAATTAAAAACTTTTTTAAAGGATTAACCACTGTCAACTTTTCACATCCCTCCAAAGGTTATTCTCTTCATATA